GCGTTCGAAATCCCCGATGCCTGAGCTTCACGAGCGCGCCGGCTCGCTTCCCCCGTCTGCGCGTCCTGAAGCGTTTGATCAGCGCTGCTGCTCCGCCAACTACAACGTTCAGCAAAACGTCCAAATAATCGAAATCCGGTAGAAGATTTTGTGGTATGTTCTGCCGAATGTTAAGCAGTTCATCCCTGGTAAAACTGATCGTGATTGAGAAACAAAAAACAGGAAAAACAAACAAAAACAGTACAAACACTGGAGAGCCAAGCACTGAGGCTGCAGTGTGCGGCGCCATCTTACTTCTAACTCTCGAAAGAGAGAGAAGAACAAAATAATGGTGGTATTTCACATCAATTAACCACAACCTAATGAGAATCATCAAAGAATCAAAAATCACCTTAAAAGGGGCTCAAACTTAAACACGCATTTAAATGGTTGTAAACGGTTACTTGCATTGGCTTCGTTGCTGAACAAGAGTCCTGATGCGGTAGACAACGAAGGTTCTTGATGAGTTGAGGAGTGAGCTGGAGGTTTTCCTGGTTCTTCTGAAGATAGGAAAGTCCACAGCAGATAGACAAAGTTACTTGAAGATAAAAACTGCCGTAAAATCAAACTCAAGAGGAGAGTTTTTGAGGAGTCTTGGATAGTGTCCGTCTCAAGAAGAAGAGGTTTCTGAGTCAAGATTAGTCTGAGCTAATGACTTTTGATAGTTCCTATCCACACCCACCTTTTGGGTGGAATAGCCAATACCAGGCGTGAATTTTTGAGCGGGATAAGTTTTCTTTGTCTCCCTTTATGGCCCATTTGCATGTTTATGGCTGGGGTGGAGGACTGGTGCAGTTTTACCCAAAATATAGTACAAATAGTTTGATGCATTTCACAATTACATACTGTAAATCATTGTTTGAGGAATAAAGAGCAGATCATTTTGATACCAAGAAAGGAACATTTAGAAGATATTAAACCAGAGATACATTCACACACCTGAATATGAGCGTTCAGAGCTTAACTAATACAAATAACGAGTGGTAACTAGGCTAATATAATAGGGAAACATACAAACAACACATGCATATACCAGATACAATTGTAACTGATTAATTATAGTCTAAATAAAGGAATGTCTTTATGTGTGTGTGTGTGGGTGTGCGTTATGTGAGCATGTTGTAGTTTGCTGGTCAGCCAGGCCCATTGGTGCCTGGCCCCGGGGGTCATTTACGTCTCTTTGGAATGTGTTTGAAGTCGATGGGGAGACCAGCGAGTTGATCTGGTTAGCCTTTAATTGATAATGGGGGGAAAACCATTGGCAATTTAGCACCCATATAACGGTAGAATCTGGGGTCAGGACTGTAATTTATATGCAAATGTCAAAAGGCTAAAGGGGTATCTAAGACATAAAGCCCCCATGACCCTCAATGATCCTAAGCAGACGCTACATTGGATAAATAAAGACTGTTGATTGTTGATCTCCTTCGTTTCCGTGCTCCTTCGTCGTCTCATCTCCTCCACAGTAGTAGGCAAACCGTGACAAGCAGTGAATAACTGCACTCATGGCCGTATTAACGCACAGGCCTACTGGGCACATGCCCATGAGGACGCTAGACCAGAGAGGGGGCCCAGAAAAGCACTACTCCCAAAAGTATTATCAAAAATGGTGGTAATCAAATGAAGGCGTTAAACATTAACTTTAATGTAATCAAATGAAATTGTAACCATTACTTTAATTTTGTGCTGCACAACAGATGTTTACTGTTAAAATTAAAACATGGAAGACAAAATTGTGTGATTACTCCTTAATTTTTTTTAAATAATTGTATTATTCCACTGAGAAGTACATTCAACTTTTTGATGGGTTGTCATGAAGAACTTCTAGTTTCTGTATTTGATATGATAGTTTTATCACATGAAATTGTGAAAAGGTGATGAAGTGACTTTCAGAGTTCCTCTAAAGATGAAGTTCATGTGTTCATGATGTCCTCATATATTGAGACGGCAGAGGCTGAAAACACTACGAGTGTCATGCCATGCATGCTTCAGTATGTGTAGTAGATATTCCATAAAGATGAAACCCTGTCCACGACATTCATTCACAGATGCGCAGAAAATACAGCCTTCATATTTAAATAGTTATTTTACGCTTTAATATTCACGGACACTAATCCATGTAGTATACAAAGATACATTTGAATTATTCATCAGATTTGCAAAATTCTGTGACATTAAGCGTTATACAGTAAGTTACATTTTATGACTGGATTCAGTCCACATTTTGCACATTGCAGAAATCACATGGACCTAAAATTATTTTGTAGATCCCCAGGCTATGTGACCCCACTTTGAGAACTCCTGATTAAATATATGATATAATACATCTGTCATGAAAAAAAGTTATAGCAGACACTAATTAGCCTAAATATTATATTTAAACAACAAATTGGAGTAGAAATAATTGTAACAATTTGGTAATTAAATTTAGAAGTTAATGTAAAACTGTCCTATTTGCAATTTACATGTTTGTATATATATATATATATATATATATATGGGCTCTGTTGTTAAAGGGGTCATATGACGATGCTAAAAAGAACATTATGTTGTGTATTTGGTGTAATGCAATGTGTTTATGCGGTTTAAGGTTTAAAAAACATTATTTTCCACATAATGTACATTATTGTTGCTCCTCTATGCCCCGCCTTTCTGAAACACGCCGATTTTTACT